ATTATTAGTAGTAAGTGACTATGGCTTTACTAGGTATCTTGATGGTTGGATTCCTCATTGGTTCAGCTTCAATAGGTCAGCAGGAAAGTACTCAAAACTTAGAGTACCATTAATCTGGTACTCAGATTTGCAACACTGGACAGAGAATGTAGCTTCTTAGTGGTTTGGGTTTCTCATTTGTGAAACAGTGACAGTTTCCGTTACCTACTTCAGAATATTGGTGTTCAAAGACCAATGTGTTAAGTTTTCCAAACTTTATTTATTTATTTAAGTTTTATTTATTTTGAGATAGAGAGAGAACACAAGTGGGAGAGAGGCAGAGAGAGCATCCCAAGCAGGCTCTGCCCTGCCAGGGTGGAGCCTGATGTGTGGCTCGAACCTGTGAACCGTGAGATCATTGAGTTACATTCTATCTTCAGCTGGAAGTCTACGTGAGGAGAATTTTCCTTCGTTTGTATCTCTGTGGAACTTTAGTAGTTTTCTTTGGCCAAGCTTTCCCATTAACCAACGAAGTATTGAAACAACAGAGAACTTTTAATTGTATGGTGTGGAATGGTGGAGGGAGCCCTTCACTTGGAGTCAGGATACTTCTTCTAGTCTTGGCTTGTGTGCCTTCGGGCAAATCATTAAACTTTTCTGAACCTTAGCTTCTTAATTTGTAAAATGAGTGAGATAGATGATGACTAGCATTTCTTTCTTTTCTTTTCTTTCTTTCTTTCTTTCTTCCTTCCTTCCTTCCTTCCTTCCTTCCTTCCTTCCTTCCTTCCTTCCTTCCTTCCTTTCTTTCTTTCTATATGAAATGTCAAATTGGTTTCCATACAACACCCAGTGCTCATCCCAACAGGTGCCCTCCTCAATGCCCATCACCCACTTTCCCTTCCCTCCCACGCCCGGCTAGCATTTATTTCAACTCAAATGGTATGTTTCTGTGTAAGGCTATTAATACCTCCCATAAATCATATAAATCTATAAAACATCTCCCTTATAAATCCTATAAAATGCATTTAACATATTTTCTACTGCCCCCCATGTTGAGACCTTTTGTGTTTAGAACTACAGGTGAGCCACACCCCATTCATCCATCCTTCTGGGCCTTCCGAAAATCTACCTTCCAGTCGGTAACTATGTTATTACTCACTAGCCTGGGAACTATACGTTTGCATATGGCCTGTTTTCCAGGGCATAGCCTGCTTTTCCCTTATAATCCATTGTTTAAGTTGTCATTTTCTTTCCTTTTTTTCATGTTTATTTATTTATTTTGAGAGAGCGCACGCGCATGTACGCTCATGACTGGGGTAAGGGCAGAGAGAGAGAGAGAATCTCAAGCAGGGTCCATGCTGTCAGTGCAGAACCCAACTTGGGGCTCAGTCTCACAAACTGTGAGGTCATGACCAGAGCCGAAATCAAGAGTTGGACACTTAACTGACTGAACCACCCAGGCACCCCTAAGTTGTCATTTTTACCCTGCATTGAAAATGTGTTGCACAACGATGAAGAGATGATTTCTGAAGAAGTGCTATTGACATGTCAACAGTTTCTAAGGGAAAAAAAACAAGAGTACTAAAATTTTACTTTAGAAGAAGGAGGACCAACTGAGATGCAAAAGGAGCAAGAGCTTTTTCTTTGACTTCTTAACTTAGAATAACTAATGGGTTAATTGGATCCATCACCCAGCTGTTTATTGAGAGGCTGCCGTAAACACCAAGAGTGCTGTAGTTAGTGTAAGAGCCCAATCTCTTCCTTTATGATAGTGACTCTCAAATCTACCTGCATGTTAAATGATGAAGCCCTGGGCCCTACCTCAGACCAATTGAATAAAAATATTTGGGTGTAGGGCCCAGACATTTAAAAACATCTTCCTATGCATTAAAAAAAAAAATGTTTATTATTTATTTTGAGGAGGGAGGAGGGGCAGAGAGAGAGGGAAAGAGAGAATCCCAGGCAGGTTCCATGCTGTCAGCGCAGAGCCTGACTCAGGGCTCGAGCCCACAAACCCTGAGATCATGACCTGAGCCGAAATCAAGAGTTGGACGCTTAACCAAATGACTGAGGCACTCCATCTCCCTCCCGGCACCCCCCCCCCCCAGCCCCAGGTGATTTTAATGTGTGCTTAAGGTTGAGAACTATTTCCTTAGGAGCTTGAAATCCAGGCGAAAGTTAAAAACTATACATTAATTGCTATAGAACACAGAAGTCTATGATGAGTGATATAGAGATCATGGGTGCATGAATTGGAAGGCATTTAATTAACTGGAGTCATCAGGGAGGCATTGAAGAGCTGAGTTTTGAGCCAGTGGAGTTTTCATACCAACTACTTTGACAGGGTGTGGACTATTTGAAGAGCAGTGGGAAGGACAGATTGGATGTTAGGTTGTAGCCAGGTTGTGATTGTCCGGTGTCCATATGGGGATTTTGACTTTATCCTGCAGGTGGTAGGAAGGCTTTTGAGGAGTCACTGAGGACTTCTGGTGTATAAAAAAGGCATGAGAACTTGGTGTCTTTGAAGATGGATCCGATGGCAGTGAGGGGTATGTCATTTGAACAAAGTGAGACAAGAGCCCGTGGAAAGAAAGACCAGTTGGAAAGCTGCTATCATCGTCCAGATTATAATGCTCTGAGCTAGGAAAAAGGCAGTGGAATTTAAAAAATAATGATAGTAAACATTTGTATGGAGTTTTCATAATCAGCAAGTTTGTTCTCACGTCTCATTAAAATTCACAATAACCTTGGTGTATTTTGTAAATATTTTGTAAATGAAGGAACTGGTATACAGAGGTTAAATTGTGGTAAAGTAACCTTACTGAAATGCGGGTCCTAACTGGATGACGACAGAGAAGTAATAGGGGGTTGCAAGGGCTCTTCCGGGGCATCATGTTGGATGTGGACGTAGTAGAATTCCTAGTGGCTAACTCAGTGTCAAGGCTCTGGCTGTGCTCTCAGGTACCTCCTTATGTTCTTCACATTGACTTCCGTTGCCTCTGTGGTTTGATGTGCAATGACTTTTTATAAATGTGTGGTGAAGGGAAGGGAATAAAAGGCTGTTGTCCATTCAACTTCTATCAAATAAGAATTTTAATGTATTTTCTGAGTATTTTTGGTTTTCAGATAGTTAAATTTTATTGAATTTTAGAAGGCTAAGTCTAGGTGTGGGGGATCCACATACAGGGCTGACCTTATCCAGATGTAGGTTAGCTGTGACCAGGTAGATTTCCTTTTCTCTTGTGGTTGAGACAGGAGCCATAGGGAAGAGAACTGTGGGTCCTGGTGTAAACATTGGAGAACATCCTCACGGCTGGGGTAACTAGGATATTTAATCAGGATTACATCCTTATCAGAGCTGGAGATTGACTCCTATCCATCACTGTGGTAATTCATTTTGTTCGCAAATCCACCAGAGCTGTGTACTCATCTGTTTTGTACACCAGGATCCTGAGGCAACTTAAATACCAGCCTAAATCATCCGTGCATGTGATGAAATGCACTTTTTCATCTGAGATATTTGTTTCTCTGCAATCAGATAGCAGAAGAATGTGCCAGAAACCTATGGGATGCTGGGGAGGTACAAAAGGAATGAATCATCATCATGGCAAATCTTGATTAGATTTTCTTATGAAATGCTGGGAGGAGGCGGGGGAAGAAGAGGAGGTTGAGCTTTTGTGCCCTGGGTAGTTTCAGTCCAGGTGCATAGACTAATGTTCACCGGCTGCAGCCATGGTGAGGGTAAGTGCTATTTTGGTAATTTGGAATGAGAACATCTTTGGAAAATTAAGATGTCCCCTTTTATTTCAACTGTTTATCTTCTCATTTTAGAATCCTGGGATCTTCAATGGCAGGAGACAGAGTGATCAGAAGCCCGAGATGAATTTTAACACTATTCTAGAAGAGATTCTTATTAAAAGGTCACAGCAGAAAAAGAAGACATCGCCCTTAAACTACAAAGAGAGACTTTTTGTGCTAACGAAGTCCATGTTAACCTACTATGAGGGTCGAGCAGAGGTAGGAGACAATAAAAATTCATTCTGCTTTCTGCATTGATAATATTTTATAATATTATTTCCCCCCACCCCAAAATCGTATGGAATACATTTTAGGTTAGTGAAGTTTAAGTAATAATTTTTTATCATTTGGATCTGAATATAAAGTTTAGAATATGGTGAGAAAGTCTCTTAATTATGGTTTCGTGTATATGGATATACTTTTCATATCAGCCTGCTGTATTAATCCTTTCAAGAAAACATTTCTACGATGGTTTTATATATATATATTTTTAAGTTTATTTATTTATTTTGAGACAGAGAGAGAATGCATGCAAGCACATGTGCAGGGGAAGGGCAGGGAGAGAGGAAGAGAGAGAATCCCAAGCAGGCTCTGTGCTGTCAGTGTGGAGCCTGATGCGGAGCTTGATCCCACGTACTGTGAGATTGTGACCTGGAAATCAAGAGTCAGAGGCTCAACCCACTCAGCCACTCAGGCACCCCACCACATTATTCCTTATGAAATCTATTAAGTATATTGTATTCATGGATCCATCCCATAACCTACTGTATTGTGTATCAAAATCTGCTTTAGCTCGTATACACTGTGTCTTTGCCCCTTGCTTTATATGAATAGTTCTTCGTTATTAAGTGGAAATTATTTAAAACTCGTTAGTGATTTCGTGGATCCAGCATATTGCTGAAGTTGACCTAAAGCAGAACTGCTCAACTTTTTTTTTTTGTGATAAGCAGCTACTGCAAAGTGCCTTTTATGAGAGGAAGGAGAAGCGGCTTGCTAAAAACCTAGTCAGTGAGCATGTGGCATAGTGAGGTCTTATCAGTTGCTTTAGCCTCTGGGTTTACCACCAGATGAGGCATGTGAATGTATCGTTGCCTCTGGCCGACCATTTTTCTCCTGGCATCTTGGGAATGCGTTATCTAGTACTGCCAGTCCAGCCATGCTCCTCTAGTAGAAGCACTCTTGGATTCCAGGAAATGGATGGAGACCGTATTGCCCTTGTTGACCACATCTGTTATCTAGTTGGTTATAGTAGTCTGCTGGTGATCTTGTTGTTTGGTTTTATTTTATTTAATTCTTCTTTTTCACCTAGAGTGCCTCTCTTAGATTGATTGATTTACTGTTTTTGGTTGTTTGTCTTGTGTGTTTTTGTTTGTTTGTTTGTTTACTCCCACTGATGTCTCTGTGTTTTTGTTCCCCTAATTCAGAGAGAACGGCATTGTTTCTTACTGGTTGTCCTTAACTCTGTTAATTTCTGTTGTGGCTTGTCATGGCGACTTGTGGAATTCTTCTGCAGGTTCATGTAATATAGGACTAAAGTCCTTTATCCACCTTCTTAAATCCCTGAAATGCTCAAGACCCAACTTGAAAAACTCTTTTAGTGGTAAAACTTGGCCTGAGATGAAGTTATTTTTAGTCTTTGTTTGTCCTAGTTAGTCAGTGTGATTTTTTTTTTTTTGCATGTGTGTGTGCAGAAATATTAATGTTTTTATTTTTGTTTTTGTTTTTGTTTTTTTTTTATAA